CAAGATTAGTTTAAATTAGTTCAGCTAAAAAAAGTAAGGGGACTAAAATGAAGCTAAATTGTTAAAAATAGACACTAAATATCAAATTTACCCTAAAAAAAAGGAAATCTATGGGACGCGGCATGTGCCACATCAACATCGGACTTTGGTCGGCCCGCCAGGGGTCGATCCTCTAGCATTTTTCGGAGCTTTAATAGTGGGTCAACATTTTTTTTTTGCCTATCACGTATATGAACCTGCGGGACAGTTAGGAATTAATGTGTTGTTGACTTTCTTGGCAAGGATGCGTGGCCTAATAATGCATGCACCATGTATAGCTTTATACTCTGACCATGTTAATGTACTGTAGAGTAATGATTGTGTGTTTGGACTAGGTATTATGAGGAAATTTTAGTTCAAAACACCTTTAATTAAAAAACAGCCCGCTCCAAAGTAATGATTGTTTGTTTGGACTAGGTATTATGAGGAAATTTTAGTTTAAAACACCTTTAATTAAAAAACAGCCTGCTCCAACTTAATAGTATGAATGAATCTGAGTTAGGGTGTTCACTTTTTGTAAATGTATGGTTTTGAGTTTCACAAGTTCCATTTTTTTTCCCATAGTTAACTAATATATCTGTATCTAATTTCAACATGTTCAAAAAAAATTTAAATGTTGTTAAAAGCAGACAACTACTCCACTTCACAGAATATCCTAATTGGTGTCTGAAACTCCCCTGATTATCTTCTTTTTACAAATCATTTTTGATAACACACTGCATATGTGCAGAAATGGAAATTAGCCAACTTTCAAGGAGTGCTGCCAAAATTAAAGCATTTTATAAGTTACATACTCTTTCCTATTCCTATAAACAATGGCCCCTTTTCCATTTCAAATGTCTGGTGTTGAGTTTTTGAATATCAAAAAGAATATAAAATAGTTTAGCTTTCCTTTTCAAATGTTCATAATATCACTGACAAACATGAAGCTGAGACCATGAAAAAAGGTTTTTACTAATCAGTTACTTTTTATAGTTTCGATTTTTCCAGTGGTACTGCATTCCAATCCTTTGTAGGAATCCTTTGTCCTTGAGTTTGTGCCATTCATTTTCAGATGGGAAGGTAATGTGCAAAGAAGAAACCTGAGACTGCAAAATTTTAACAAGTTAGAAAGGGTTAGCAACATCTTGCCATTCAAAAGGCAATAGCTAAAATCTTGATGGTAGGGTCTGGTATAAATAAGAAAAGTTTGTACTGCAATGAGATAAATGACAATTATAATCTACTCTAACTGCAAAATGGAAGGGGCAGGAAAATTTAATTCATCAAATTCATATATGCTCAGCGTTCGAGTGAGGAGGAGCTTTAAGAATAAAATGTAAAAACAAGCAGATAAGGTAAGGAATAATTTGAGTTGCAATTATGGGAAAACGGAATCACATCCTTAAAGCAAAGGATTATATCATCCATGCAATACCTTGGCTGCCAGATCCTTGAGAGCAGAGACCATAATGTCAAAGACTTGATCTTTACACCAAGTATTGCGGATTAAGATCCTTGGACCAGTAACAGGAGTGAAAGGCACACAGCATTGAAGTTTCGGATGGTATCTTGATCCAATACCGTAGTAGGCATCAGCCCAGGAATGATCGAAAACAAATTCACCATAGGAGTGGCTACACACCCAAATTGAAACCAAGAGATTAGAAAATAGGAAATTTCTGAAAAAAAAAATAATAAATAAATAAATAAGAAGAAGAAGAAGAAGAGAGCATAGCAGAAACCTCTTAAGATAGAGTGGAACAACAGCTAAAATATTTTGAGATTCATCCTTAGCAACAATATGGCAGGGCTTCCATCCAGTTTCCTGAAAAGTCAATTTAAAGTGAGAATTTTTACATGGAGTGGTACCTAATAAAAATAAGAAAGAAAGAAAGAAAGAAAGAAAGAAAGTGGTGCAGTGGGAGTGTGATTATTAACCAACCTGGACAGCGCAACCAGTCTGTTCTAAACTTGAAAGAAAGGCATGGGTAAGAAAAGGATTAAAGTTTTGAGCACCGGAGGCATCCAAAGTACAAGCATCCCAGGCATGGGGTGAGACCTCCAAAATTGAAGAAACAACAGAGATGGAGAGCTTTTGAGGTGTTGTCTGAGAGGGGCAGGGTGAAACAGCAATAGAATGAGGTCTAATTATATTATACTAACCTTAACCAAATAATAAAAGAAGAGAAACACAAAGAAGTGGGTGAAGAAGAAGAAGAAGACACCTGTTGGGCAGAAGAAGAAGGGGGTAAAGTAAAATCTCTTGAAAAATCCAATTGCAGGGATTTGTTGTTAGATCCCCAAAATAGTGCAGTAATTGTAGAGGCATAGACTGGATTCCTGATGCTTTGTCCAACTGATGATTTCCCTTTCCCCTGAGAAATCATCAATTAATCAAACAGACAGACAGACAGACAGCAATTAAAAATCAATTTTCATGCTTGAAAACAACAACAACAACAACAACAACAACAGCAACAACAAAAGATTTCCAGAATGAAACAAAGAGGCAACTGAAGTTAAGAAAATAGATAGATGAAACATGAAAGCGCTATGCCTATGCATGTCAGTGGTTTAACGGTAATCACTAATCAAACAAAGGAAAACAGGTAAACGCAGCAAAGGTCTTTGGAATGCGCTTACAAAGTTAGGGGGAAATTGGCCGAGGAATGGGGAAGGCTTGCAGTAGGAGTAAGTGAGTGTTGCTGCCATGGCCACACAACACGCTACACACCACACGCCCCACGCCCAGAGAATTAAACAAAGAAAGAAGGAAGGAAAGAAAGAAAGGTTCCGTTGGCTTTTAACGACAAATATTGATTATTACGTACAAATCAAGCCCAATCAGCAAAAGCCTACTGGACTGGACTGGACTGGACCGGACATTGTAAAGCCCATAAGACAGTCCCAAATCCCAATCCAATCAGTAAACGTGTCTTGTAAATATAAACAATTGGATATGGGCTTCAGGTTTCATGCTGGATATACCCTTTTGTCTATGGGCTTGAGTTTGGGCTTGGTCCCAAATCCCAATTTAAGCCTAGCCTAGCCTACGTGCATAATTACATTTCAGTCTGAGAATATCTGGGCCGATTGCAGTTTCTAGTTTCTTCTTATATTAAAGATTTTAATATAAGAACAGGTTTAAATTTCTTTCACCTTAGTCTGAGAAATGATTTCTATTCATTCATATTTTCAAATTTCATACATGCTTAAGGGATTCAGATTTCTATTCATTCATATTTTCAAATTTCATAGATTAGGTATTGGCTTATACAATTCAAGATGTAGTTTTTAAGTCACACTTGAAGAATCTAATAGAATTTGGACAAATACCTGGCTTAGCAAGTTCATATTGGGTTAGTTAATTACCCCATGTTATTAATTGGGATCCTACTCTTACTGTGCAGGGTGGCTGGGGGGGTGGGATATTTTTTTGTTGACTTTCTTGTATGTTTAGCTTCTTGGTGTAATACTCTTGGTTGAATTAACCTTGAATAGAAAGTTGTTCTTGAGGTGTTATAAATGTTAAAAGAATTTTCTTCAGTGTTTGTTTGCCACAGACTTTCAGCATAGGTCTGAACATGCCAGCCAAAACTTTTGTTTTTCAAATGTTGGTAAATTCGATGGGAACAATTTTAGATGGATACCTAGTGGAGAGTAGATACAAATGAGTGGCCGTGCTGGTTGTCGAGGTATTGACGAACAAAGGAATATGCATCCTAATGGTAGATGAAAAGTTGGAGCCTTATACTGCTAAATTGATGCTTAAGGGAAGTGCTGATAGTTTGAACGGGTACTTCTTCTGCCAATGCAGGATGTTTATAAGCTGTTCTATTATCACTTGGATGCTTCTTAGTATTCAATTTTGGGGTGTATCTCATGGGGTTTTTTTATCCTTGTTAGTTTAAAAGTTTTGTCACATCTATGGCTGTTTTTGTTTTTTATTTTTCTTTTGTTCTTTTTTAGTGGATTTGAAGTGAGCTCGTTTATGATGCTATTAGGATCTCAGATAGATGGACTGTTAAGTTTAATGGTGACGACATGTACTCTTATGAGGTGGCTTGACTCCTGATGGGTCAGAAGGTTT